CCCAGCACGCTTGCTGTGCTTAGGGCTCTGTTGTTAGGCACTCTGTTTATTTTGTTCTTGGGCACCATCTACTACCTGGTCAGAAAAACCTTAGCCCCACTGTACCCCAGTGCCTGCGTTCATGTCTTGCCCCAAAGACCCAATCCCAGAGGCTACAGGTCCTCAAGGCTGAGATTCTACCTGTGGCCCAGGCTAAGGTCCTGCCATCTCTTAGCAGAGTTTCCAAATCCTGGCCTACTTTCTAGGGTCTTCCAATATCATCTGGTGCTGAATTCCTGTCACCAAGCTCCATGTGCCTCTCAGGACACCTCTCATAATCCCCCCAAACCATATACAGCCTACCAGTGAGGAGCACAGGCTCACTAGACAGCCTAGGTATGAAGCTTGGCTCTGCCACTTGGTAGCTGTGTGACCTTAGCCAAACATCCCACCCACCAAGCCTCAATTCCTGCATCTATAACAGCCCCTACTATTATATGCAGGGTTGTAATGAGTATTGAGTGAGGTGATACACTTACAGCCAAGCACAGTGCTTAGACACAGCAAGGGTTCAATAAATGTTGGGGACCAGTTCAGAAGCTGTTCTATGTCTGAATGCTCATACATGTGAACAAAGCTCCATGCCAAAGCAAACGTGCCTCCCAGCTACCCAAGCAGTGGCACCAGGGGTCACTCATAGAGTGTCACTTTGGGCTTTGGAACAAATAGACTTGTAAGCAGCCTTTTCTCCTCTTTTCTTTTCTTTCTTTCTTTCTTTTTTTTTTTTCTTTTTTTGTGAGACAGAATTTCACTCTCGTCACCCAGGCTGGAGTGCAATGGTGTGATCTCGGCTCACTGCAACCTCTGCCTCCCAGGTTCAAGCGATTCTTCTGCCTCAGCCTCCCAAGTAGCTGGGATTACAGGTTTGTGCCACTATGCCAGGTAATTTTGTATTTTGATTAGAGATAGGGTTTCACCATGTTGGCCAGGCTGGTCTTGAACTCCTGACCTCAGGTGATCCACCCGCCTTGGCCTCCCAAAGTGCTGGGATTAGAGGCATGAGCCATCACACCTGGCCGAAGCAGCCTTTTCAGAACTCAACTTTGAATAATAATAATAATAATAATAATAATAATAATAATAGCAAATACACAGTACTCACTGTGAGCTGGAGACCCTGTGCTGATAAGGGCATTACTCATTTGATTCCTTCCATAACAAGGTTGGTACTTTATTACCCCCATTTTACAGATGAGGAAACCAAGGGCCAAGGTCACAGGACTAATAACTGGCAGAATTTGGATCCCAGGCAGCCCAGCTACGGAATCTATGTACTTAGCTAATGTGTTATGCTCCCTCTCTCTCTATTTTTTTTTTTTTTTGAGGCTGAGTCTCGCTCTGTCACCCAGGCTGGAGTACAGTGGTGTGATCTCGGGTCACTGCAAGCTCCGCCTCCTGGGTTCACACCATTTTCCTGCCTCAGACTCCCGAGTAGCTGGGACTACAGGTGCCTGCCACCACGCCCAGCTAATTTTTGTTGTTGTTGTTGTTGTATTTTTAGTAGAGACGGGGTCTCACCGTGTTAGCCAGGATGGTCTCGATCTCCTGATCTCGTGATCCACCTGCCTCAGCCTCCCAAAGTGCTGGGATTACAGGCGTGAGCCACCGCACCCAGCCACTCCCTCTCTTGAGTAGTCTAAATTAATTATTAAAAAGCAAAGGGGGAAACAAGGAAAAAGTTAAAAACAGAGAAATGTTTTAAGCAGATAGCATTGGCACCAGGATTCTTGCAAGTGAACTCAAGAAGCTCACTTCTGGCTAGGTTTAAACCATGGTGTATTTAATAATCAAAGTAATTGCTATTCCTTCCCTCCCCTTTTCTCTCCCTGTAGGCCACTGGCCCAGATGCTTGTTCTTGTTCCTGTACCTTGGACTCCTTCACTTATCTTTCCGCTGAGTTGAACACATCAGCCCAGGCCCATTCTCTGTTACCTTCCCACCCAATCAGTCCCCTCCCTTCTCTGTGGTTGTTTGGGCTGGATCCAGTCATATCTCAAGATGGGGACACCTTGTTGGTAGTTGAACATTTTTTGATTAGTGAACCCTTTCTTCAGAAAAAGTACTCTCACCCACATGTATAGATGTTAGATTTACCTAAAGCATGGTATGCCTATGGCACAAATGACTTCAGATTATTTTTCCAGCAACCTTAAATCAAGGGATACTGCATTAGCCATGCAATGCTTATTTAATGAGGTGGAAATGGGTGTGTCTTCCACTCTGCACAATACCTAACCCCTGGCAGCTAGCACACAGGCTGAATGTCAGAGGCGTTCGAACCAGAGCAACTCCATCTTGAGTGAGGGCTAGGAAAATGAGGCTGGGACCTGCTGGGCTGCATTCCCAGAAAGTTAGGCATTCCTAGACTCCAGACGTTTACAGTTAAGGAAATAGATCGATAATGTTTACCACACAGACCCAGACTTGGGGGTGTCCAGATAGCCCGATATTTTGAGAACAAAGGCATTCCTAATTTTGCTTTAAAGATAATAATATGGATTCTTGCAAAATATAGTAATTAAGAAAATTAGGCCAGGTGCAGTGGCTCACGCCTGTAATCCCAGCACTTTGGGAGGCCGGTTGGATCACCTGATGTCGGGAGTTGGAGACCAGCCTGAGCAACACAGAGAAACCCCGTCTTTAATAAAAATACAAAATTAGCCAGGCATGGTGCCTCATGCGTGTAATCTCAGCTACTCGGGAGGCTGAGCAGGAGAATCGCTTGAACCTGGGAGGCGGAGGTTGCAGTGAGCTGAGATTGTGCCATTGCACTCCAGCCTGGGCAACAAGAGCGAAACTCTGTCTCAAAAAAAAAAAAAAAAAAAAAAGAAAGAAAAGAAAAAGAAAATTAATCCTTTATCACAAACCCTTGTAGCAGAGCACATCTCCCTATGATCTTTTTAAAATCCTATATATATGAGCATGGTACCTAGGATGGACATGCTCCTCCTCTTGCTTTCGGGAACACCCTACTCTGTCAATGGAGTAGCTGTGCTTTCACCACTTTACTTTCCTAATAAAAAGAAAGTAAGTGCTTTTGCTTTGTACTGCGGACTCGCCCTGACTTCTTTCTTGCTTGAGATCCAAGAACCCTCTCTTGGGGTCTGGATCGCTTTCCTGTAACAGCAGTCCCAAGATCCTTAATAGTTTATGTGCAGTCCACAGAATGCATGTCACTGAAGTGAGCAGCTGCACTGTCCCGGGATGAGATGTCCCTTGGATGTAGATACAGCATATGGATGTCCGCCCACCACTTCCACTGAATATGTTATCATGGCTGGTGCTACTCACCTGTGAAGTCAAACCACTTAACCAGATATGGCTTCCTTGATCCTTTGCAGAACCAGTCAAGTCATATGTAAACAGCAGATTTGAGAGAGAGTTTAAAAGAAACTCATTGTATTTTCTCTTAACGTTTTGCACACTAACTTTGCTTTGGATTACATACTTCATTTGCAAACCCATTTATTCACACTAACAAAGGCCGGGGCAACAGAAGAAAATCTCTCTGAGTCCTTCTGCCAACAGCAAATTGGTGATCTTGCCTTCAGATCTACATCTCAAGAGGGGACTTTCCTCGGAAGCCCTCAAAGACCAACACAAAGAAAACAAAGGAAAAGGGAATTTGTGACTGTGAATCAGAGTCTCCACCAAAATCCTCAGTCACCCACACTGACAAACAGCTCCGGTAAACTGCTGGTCACCCTTCACTAGACACCACTTCCCAAAGCAAGGCCCACTTCTTTCAGCCCTGATGCCACTGCTGCTGGCTCATAGTTACACAGAGCTGGCGGAGGGGCAGCCTGGCTCGCCCTCAGCCGGGATGCTCGCATCCTCCCACTGGGTCGGAGAGCTAACTCGTAAACAATCGCATCCCTGTAGAGAATGAAAGGAAAAGTACCGGTCACCAGTGCAGCAAGGAGGGAGGCAAATGGGGGTGGCGGTGGCGTGGGTGGATGTAACATAGCTAGAGAATCATGGAGTGTTGGAATTCTGCTGAAGCAGAATGAGCCCTTGGGCCTGAGAGGGGTCTCCCTTGGGTCTCTGAAAAGTGGGTACTTGACTAAATGCCTGAAATTTCCATCCCAGTATCTGGAAGGCTGAATTACTGAAGTGCTCCTCTGCAGCAGCCTTGCATACCTTTGGCATGTAATTGCGATGTGGGTGTGGATAGTGTATGTGCCAGAGAATCTGTCCATTCTGACTCCTTCTCGCCTGGTGCCCATCAGAGGGGTACTGAAACGAGGATGTGATATTCCAAGATCAGAAGGGAAGGAAAGAAGTAATCCGAGTGACCATGGGACCATGGGAATACCACCCTACCAGAACCCTGAGCTAACATGCCCAGATAATCCTAAACTTCAGCCTGACTTTTATATCAAAAGGTTAATAAAATCTAAGCTGCCCACCATGTGGACAGCTTTTCCAAGGCAGCTGAATATCCAGGCTTCCCAAGAGAGAGCTGGTGTGACACAGCAAGATAATGCTAGCCACTCACCACGGCCAGACTCACCGCAGCTTTCTGCTTCTGCCGAACCACAGGGGCTGCATCCAGCACTTTAGTAAATGAGAAATGCCTGCCCCGTCCAGCCCTGATTCAGGGCCAGTGTCAGGCGGGCACTGGAGGAATGGAGATAATGCGGCGGCATGGTGCATTCATATTTTTGCAGTCTCTAAGCTAGAAGTGCTATTTTTACATGTCTGTGACATCAGCCCGGCCTTCCCCCAGGGCAGTCTGCACCACGGTTTAAACCCAGCCAAAGGTGAGCTTCTTGAGATTCCCTTGCAGGAGTCCTGGTTCCAGTGCTATCTGCTTTAAAACATTTTCTTTCTTCTCCAAGTAGCATTACATTTGCACTTGGACACACACACACACACACACACATAACACACACACACACACACACGACCTCAGCTACAACCTGCTCTCTGTTTCCCAGATCAGATGCCCTGATTCTTACCTAAAGAGCTTGTAGGCCAAGGGCTGTACCTCTCTCCACACTGGCTCAGTGCTGTCCCAGGGGAAGCGGAATTCACTTGGTGTCTTCTGCTCTGTGTTTGTCACTGTCACTGTGCGGCAGCCGCCGCCCCAGCAGCCCCAAGCCGGCTCTCTGAACCTCCAGGCTACTGCAGCTCTGAGTGGGGAGAGGGACGGGCCGTGGCATGCACATCAGGTTGCTGGCCCGCCTCCAGATACCATGCCACAGAGCTGGCTACCCGTCCCTAGGGCTGTGTGGGAAATCGAGGTGGGGGGGCGGGGGCAGGCTGGGAGAGCCAAGAATGTCAGCCTCGAAGTCTATCTCCGGTCCTTGTTTATCAGCAGAGGGGACCTGCCTTTAGACAACCGCCCACCCCCACCTCACACGCAGGGATGCACACAGCTCTAAGCAACCCCTACTCTGGACAGCCAGCAGCAGGCCCAGGAACACAGAGCCATTGGCCAGCCAGGAGGGAGGTAGAGACAGAAGACGGTGGCAGCAGCTACCCTGGGTGTTATTTTAACGTGGTTTGCCTTGGGGCAAATGTCTGAGCCGAATGGACTTCTGGCCCGTCTGAGCAGAATCCTGTTTATTTTGAGGCCTGAGTCGCCAGGGAAACAGCAGGTCGTGGCTCGGAGACTCTCCTCTGGAATCAGAAGGCTGCTGGATGAAAGGGAGGCCTTTTCTGTTCTGTCATCTGGCATCCTTGCATGGGGTGTAGGTGTCTGTGTGTGGCAACGTGTATGTGTGCGTGTGTGTGTCTGTCTGTGCCATCCCCAGAGCCAAGCCCTACAAATGGCATTTTGCAAAGTCAATCGAGGCAAAAGCCATCCAGGTTGGGACTGTGGAGGGGCTGCAGAGGGGGCAGCTCTGTCCTCCCTCTCCACTGTTCAAACCTGTTCCCGTTGGATGAGGTGGATCCTCAGGTGAGCTCAACTTCAGGGGTGGGAAATTCTTCAATGGGCCATGGACATCCTCTTCAGATTTCTGGCCAGGACAGGGTAAGGAAGGGAGGGAGCTGTCTGGACAAATAATTCTTTGGCTAGAAGGTGGGGAATAAGGTGGACTGAAAGGATATGGATCAAGAGCTGTCTCTGAACCAAATGTAAACATGATTAATAGTTTCCAATAATTGAAGAGTCGCTCCTGCTTATGCAGGCATTTGAGCCCAGGAGGCATGAGTGAGTGAGTGTGTGTGTGTGCGTGTGTGTGTGCGCACGTGTGAGCTTCCATGTATGTACACAAGCCTGCCCACCTGATGATTCAGGTAGAGAGGTACAGATCGACCTGTCAGAACTAGAAATATGCTCCCCAGCCTCTACCTCCTCTGGGTGTTGCTTAGGTGTAGGGAGGATGGAAGTGCAGTCTGTTCCCCATATTCCCCACAGAGCATGGGGGTATGGGAAGACATTCATGTGCCTTCTGAAGGGATGAGCCTTGGAGAAGGAGCTCGTGTCCTGTAAAGAGCTAGAGGCTGAATCATCACAGAACTCCAATCACGGATAAGCAGCAGCTCCCAAAAGGGACTCGAATGTACAGAAAATGTTGATTTCTTGAGACCCTCTTAACTGGAACCCTCATGAACTACCACTTCTACACATGCAAAGGATACTGATAATTTGCTTTAAAACATAATAATCTTCCTGAGTATCTGCAAGCTTCCAGAGGACCTTCTGAATCATTAAAAAAAAAATTTCAGACAATGGATTTCCAAGTATTAAAGAATCATTATGCTAGATGTAGTATGCATGTTAACCCTTTTTAACTACGTGAAATGATAGACTTGAAAGTTAGAAAATACCCAAAAAACCCTAAGGACAGAGATGCAGACTCAGAGACTCACTCAGGTGGTACCCTTAGTTAAAGTCCTCGTTGTGACTAAAACCAGGTCTCCCTGCTTTAGGTTAACCCCGGGTTAACCTGCCTGCACTGTGTGGTTGGCCATTGTTGGGCAATTCAGCCCAAGGGCTCCAGATTCCTTCTCTTCTAGTGGAAATTAATAAGACTTTCCTACTCATATCTTCCCTGTAAACTCACAGGATTATCATGACAATCAAATGTGTCCAAGTGTGTTTGAGCACCTTGAAAGCGGGAAATGCAAATGCAAGTCATTATTTTATTTTGTTTGATTTCTCCATTGTGTCCAGTTATGAAACCCTGTTTAAACACACACACTCACACACACACACACAGCTTTTAGGCAAATATAATCCCTAGCTACTGACATATGCTAATTTATCTACTGCATAGTGGGTGTCTGGCAATAGTACTGTCCAAATACTGGGAAATAATCCTCAGTTCGCTAAGGTATTTACTGTAATATAATTCCCCCCAATGTTGAAATTTTTTGAAATTTCATTTTAATATCCTTCAATTTCTACATTTATTTCAACTTCTGTTAGTATCTAGATTTACCTTTTTAATAACATCCATTGAGATGTTTCCCAGTCCAGAGACATGCCCACGTGAATGCTTTTCAGCCCCACTGTTATTTAGAGTAGGAAGGGACTTTGCCATGACCTAGTCGAAAAGTCTGGTCTCAGAATAGCCCTCCAGCTCTGTGCCTGGAAATAGTCGGTGGAAATAATAGCCGTCGAAGCTGCTTATTAAGCATCCACAATATGCTAGATTGTATGCAGAACATGTAACAGAAATCATGTCTTCCTCCAGAGCTCTTCCACCACTTTAAAAGCCATTTCTGTCCTGATAACTGTAAGAGAGGCTGCTAGTACTGCAGAGGGGTCCTCTGAGAAAGGAAGGAAATGACAGGTTTGGAGAACCAAAAAAATCCTAGAAGGTTTATCCACAGAGATGTGAGCTTGCCCCGGAGTCATCCACATCTAAAATGTGGCTGTTGCCAGAGGTGAGATTTTTCCTTCCACATCCTAACAGATGGACTCAATACAGAGCACTTAGGCAGCTGCTATTACAGAAAGTGACTCTACACCTCTCCTTTAGAAGGGCGATAAAGGTAGAATGTGGTGGTTCCGTGGTTTTGCTTATTTTGTGCTCAGTGCCTCTGACAATCAGACATATAACTATCACATTTTAACTGTACCAGCATGAAAGAAGCAGAGCATTATTGAATCAACAGGGTTCAAAATGCCCCCAATATATACATTTTTGTTTTCTCTCTCTCCAGGCAGAACATAAGCCCTGGCGTCTTGTCCTTGATTCTTGAGAATGACATTCAATATTTGCTTTAAAATTTCCCCTTCATTCATCCTGTTTACACAAACGATACAGTTATATGAAACACACACCAGACACATTGCATTTTCTTTCTAATCTCATTTGACCTTGTTCAGGCACAACAAATCTTATTCAGCTGACGGGGGAAATTGGATGCTGCATGCCACTCTCTCCCTCCAGCAACACATTTCCTCTGTTTATGCCCAATCAGGCAGTTAAATGAAGGGCGCCCTGGTCTCACGGTGAAGCAAGCACCACGATGACAGAGGGCAGTGGGAAATGCAGCAGACATTCATGGGAAATTGTATTCGTTGCTCAAGGAGACTGGCCAGCCACAAACATCACCAGAGCTGCAGGACCGAAGCTGGGTCCAATGGCCCTCAAGAAGGAAGGTACCTCACTCTGATCCCACTGAAATCCAATCACAGGCGCTTGCGCCCCGCTGGTTAGCCTGACTCTTCAGCAGCTTCAGGGGAGGATGCTTGGGAAGCGTCCTACCCATGCGAGCTGGGTTTCCTCTCCTCTGGTATTGATTGCCTGTTGCCTATTCTACTGTGTTTTCCTCGATCCTGGCTTTTTAATTTTAAAATATTTTACCTTTGCAAAAAACGAACACTCTGTGCACATAACACTGCACCCAAAGGTATAAAATGACCCTCACTAGCCCTCTTTTCTCCAAAGATAACCACTATTCACTTTGAATGTATGGATCCTTTCAGGAAAAAAAAACTGTCTTTGTACCTTGAATATGTGTATGCTAAAAACACACATTACTATGCACAATGTCCTGTGTAATTGTTTGTTTGTTTTTCACTTAATAATAGATGTTTGCACATTGGTCTAGTTCATCCAAGCACCAAATTTCTTGCCTGAATTATTGAGGTATCTTCCTAATTGGCCTCCCTGCTCTACCCTAACCCTCTACAGTTCATTTCAGAAGGATCCTGCTAAAAGGTAAATCAGATCATGTCTCTATTTGTTCAGAACTGTCCAGGGCTTTTCCCTTGCACTAGGAACAAAAGCTAAGCTCACTACCACCACCTGCCTCTGCAAGTTCACCCCCAACATACTCATTGCTCACTGTGCTCCAGTCACCTGCTCCTCCTATGGGCCAGGCTTGGTCCTAGCTCAGGGTCTTCGTACTTCCCATTCCCTCTGCCCAGAATTATGCATTTATTTTCTGCCTGTAGGTTATTTGCCTGGCTTACTCTTTCCTGTTATTCTTGTCTCAGCTCAGGCCACCTGTACCCTGACCACCTGTTCTAAATCAGCCCCTTATCACTGTCTTTCACATCTCCCACTTTCTTTTTCCTCATAATTCTTACTACTTTCTCAAAATTATTGTATTCGTAAAATGTTTACTTAGGCCAGGCGCGGTGGCTCATGCCTGTAATCCCAGCACTTTGGGAGGCCGACGCGGGTGGATCACCTGAGGTCAGGAGTTCGAGACCAGCCTGGCCAACACGGTGAAACCCCGTCTCTACTAAAAATTACAAAAATTAACCGGGCATGGTGGCTGGCATCTGTAACCCCAGCTACTCAGGAGGCTGAGGCAGGAGAATTGCTTGAACCCGGGAGGCGGAGGTTGCAGTGAGCCCGGATAGTGCCACTGCACTCCAACCTATGCGATAGAGTGAGACTCTGTCTCAAATAAATAAAATAAAAAATAAAATAAAGTAAAAATAAATAAAATATTTACTTACTTGTCCTCTGTCTCCCCTGCCACATACACTGGAATACAAATTCCATAAGGAGAGCAGGGGCTTTGTCTTCTCACTGTTATATACTCAGTACTGAGACCAGTGGTCCTCAAGCTCGAGTGTGCACTGGAATCACCTGGCGGATTTGTTAAAATACAGATGCTAGGCCCCAACCTCAGAGTTTCTAATTCAGTAGATCTGGGGTGGGCCTACCGAAATAGAGTTTATATTTCTAACAAGTTTCTAGCTGCTGCTGCTGCTGCT